CAATCACTTTCACAATTTGTGGAAGCAAATTTCATCGTAAAGTTAACAAAATGGGGTGGTATGGTGGCGCAGTTGGTAGAGCTGTTGCCTCTCAGCGAGAAGCTTGTTGGTTCAAATCCCAGCCTGGGACTTTTCTGGGTGGAGTTTGCATGTTTTCTCCGTGCATTTGTGGGTTTTCTCCGGTTACTCCAGTTTCCTCCCGCACACCAAAAACATGCATGTTAGGCTGATTGGTAACTCTAAATTGTTTCTAGGTGTGAGTGAGAAAGCGAATGGTTGTTTGTCTCTGTGTGTCCCTGTGATGGACTGGAGACATGTCCAGGGTGTCCCCCGCCTCTCGCACATTGATGGCTGGATATGGGCACCAGTGACCCCCGCAACCCAAAATGGAAGAAGCGGATAAAGATAATGGATGGATGGAATTCCCAAAATGTTGGTTTAAAATAAATAAAGTGTTGTGTGTTTGCACCAAAGCTCAATAATCCAAGTATAAAATCCAACAGTGTTCAGTCAGGTCATCTGGACGGTTTCTTTTCTTTGCTGAGACGTTGCATCCTTCATCCAAAGGACTTCTTCGATCTGTTGTGCGTTTGATTAAACACCTGTTGAACGTCTTGAATTTATTACTTTTTCTTGATTTAACAAAGCACGGTAAAGTCAAAGGAATATTTTGTATGCAACTCTTTGCAAAAAGACAAAGCAATTCAGAAAATGCAGCTGAATTACTTTCTGAGATTCCTGGGAATGAGATCAGAATGGATGGTTTCAGCTTCCTCCCATATAGCATTATTTTCTGGACAGTAGGCTTTATTTATAATGACAATATTTATAAAGACAATGGATTTTTTTTTTCATCTTAGTTTATATTTCTCCTAATGTACAAAACAAAAAGTTAATGTTTAATGTTAACCGGAGGCAGATAAGTTGCAGCTCATAAGCACCGTGGACACCCTGCTTCAAACCGTTAATGTATTCTTGTTGTTGCTGTCCGCCTGGCTATGTCATATGGCGAGTTATGTAGGAGCGTGCACGGCTCAGTGGTTCAGCAGCATCATATGTCATGGTGAGTAGATCAGCTGTGAGCTGAAGTGAGTTGTGGTCTGTAGCTGTGAATACTCACACTGAGGCATGGAGAGGCCAGTTGGGGGCTGTTGTTGTTGGGTTTAAAGAACTTGGAGAGTTGTTTGCTGACTTGGACTGCAACATTTTGCTGTTCGGATGCATTTTAAGACATAAAAATGTGCTTATACCACATAAACTGTGCTTTATGCATACCTGAGAGAATTGTAGTAATTAATGTGAACATACTGTATTTACTGCTGATAACTTGCATAAATTGTGCAAGAGATTGATAAAAACAGTAGTACAGTAAGTGGCTGCAGAACATAAATAAACGTTATTCATCTATCCATTTTTTTTTTTACCCACATTTCCTTTTTGGGTCACGGGGAGCTGGTGCCTGTCTCCAGCAGTCAGTGCACGAGGCAGGGAACACCCTGGACAGGCTACAAGTCAATCACACAAAGACAAACGAGACACACAACCATTCACACTCTCATCTAGAGACAATTTAGAGTTACCAGTTAGCCAATTAACAGTTACCAGTTAGCCTAACATGCATTTATTTTGCTGGAGCAAACCATGCAAAGTTATGAAAGGCCCCAGAATTGGATCTTTTGAGCTGACAGGTGACCACAGCACCACTGTGCTGCCCATAAACTATAATAACACAGAAATGTATGATTATCTCCATTTTATTTTACTGTAACTGTCTGTTATTTATTTTCGTTTTTATTTATGCTCACAGTTCAATCTGTTAATTAATTTACTCATTAATGGAGGGACAAATGGCTTTCATATGTGATTACGTTTAACATGTTCTGAATCAGGAGGGGGTAATCTGCATCGACTGTAGCACGGAACGCTCAAATTATTCTGACTTCATATTAAAGTTACACCTCTTGTTCTTTTACTGTTGTACAGACACAAACATATTTTTATTTTATGCAATGTTTAAAGTGTATATTCTGATGGGACCATATCATGACGTTGTTTTGGCAGCCATAAAAAGCTGAGTAATAGTTTTACTGGTTTACCAGCAGCAAATAACCGCAGCAGCAGTTTACCATCAGTTTTGGTTTTTTTACCTCTAAAACTCTTCACTCGTCTCTCTGTCACTTTCCCTTCATCCTCACATGAATCGCTTTGTTATCTTTGCTCCCTGCGGCTCAAGAACGCTCCGTCACAGAGCCAGCGGCCCCAAGCTTAACGGCCTTTTCTTTCAGTAACAAAGAGGCTTGTGCTGTTTATTCTTAGCTAAGTGCTTCGCACAATCTGCAGTTAACCATCGAGAAAAATGAATCTGGCAGCCCGCAGTGCTCCTGCATTTATAGTGTCCGCACCACAGCTCCCTCAGGAGTAAGAGGTCGTTATCTATATATTGATATATTTGTAGGCATTTCCCTGCATTTTATTCATGTGTTAAATATTAAACCCATCTCTGATCCTGCTAAATGAAGTTTTTATGGGCAGATATGTTTAACATGACCTGCTTCATGAATAAATGATTAAGATAGTCTCCTTCTGATTAAGGGAGATCTCAGGACTGTCCTAAACATGCTGAGTCACCTTTGTTTTATGCAACCTCCGTTTCTTACACAATAAAAGACATGCTGCCACAATCGTCTGGACATTTGCGTGCCTCTGTTTTCAGCTTCACTTCCAGTCGTCCTCAGTCGATGGCTCAGTGTTCCCTCTGCCTTTGAAATGAGCAGAGAAAGGAGCACGGCTGAGCTGCATCTCCTCTCACAGCATCCTCTAATTACGCAATTCCTTCGTCATGTTTATGTTTGATCCTCTGCTTCTTTCTGGCTTGTTAACAGTTTAATCTTATTTATTTATTTTTGTCGATAATCAACGATTTCTTTTTCCACAAAAGCAGTTTCCTTTCATTTTAGATATACAGGAACAATATATCTGGTTTATATAAATGTTGACCAGCGACAATAGCAAACGTGTTTTTAAAACGTTGTTAGTGAAGATTTTTCATGGAAAGAACAGATTTAAAAACACATTTTTATCTAGAATTCATTTCAGAATTGCTTACTTTCAGCTTGTTTCATGTTGTCAAAGTTATCACTTTTTAAATTTTTATTTCAGACCCAAGTGGAAAGAGAGAAGCCTGAATGACATGAATATGTTTTAAAGCTGGCAGCATGACGGTTCAGTGGTTGGCACTATTGCCTCACAGCAAGAAGGTCCTGGGTTCAATTCCCGGTTGGACCTGGGGTCTTTCTGTGTGGAGTTTGCATGTTATTCTCATGCTTGCGTGGGTTTTCTCTGGGTACTCCAGTTTCCTCCCTCAGACCAAAAACATAGGTAACTCTAAATTGTCCCTAGGTGTGAGTGAGAGAGTGAATGGTTGTTTGTCTTGTTTGTCTCTATGTGTTACTGTGATGGACTGGAGACATGTCCAGGGTGTCCCTTGCCTCTTGCACAGTGACTATGGGCACCTGTGACCCCCCGCTACCCAAAAAAAGAAAAAGCAGGTAAAGGTAATGGATGGATGTTCATTTCGTCCCAGTTTGCTCAACTAAAGTGCCAATGTGTAGTACTGGCTAAGGTGGTGTTTGTTTTACACAGATTTATAAGATTAATTTTATAATCTTGGAAAAACATCTTTACTCATCATCCTTGCAGAAGACTTCTACTCATTTCTCCATACCCTGCACTCTATGGCTGATGTGGTGAAGGAACTATTAGCTATTTGACAGAATATCATTTTGAAAATGACAAGATTATCTCTTTAACGTTTCTTTTGAGCTCTTGAACTTAGTCCTTGAGTGTGCCTTTTTTCCTCATTCACACTGAAACATGACAGTGACCTGATGCTATATTCCACCAATTTAAAATGGGTGTGTTTGATCAGTTGATTAAAATAAATGTTTGTTAAAGTACGCACATCATAAGAAAGATTTACCTTTTATAATAAAGCTTATAAGACGTCCATCCATTCTGTATACCTTTGTTGCACTCTATTCTGGGTTGCAAATGGGTCAAATCCCAGCTTCTTTTGATTTAGAGTGGATGTACAGTACCTGGACAGTCATGGCCCTAACTATCAAATCAAAAACACAAACTTAACTCACTTAACTCTGAGTCATGAGAGGGAACTGGAGCACTTCAATGAAATCAAATTAATCTGATTGCATCTCATCTCATTTGCTTTTTACTCCCTTTTGTTATTTTAAGACATCATATACAAAGTACTGCACCACTCTTTAATTAATCAGCATCAGTTATTAAAAAATAAACAATTGTGTTGACATCCAGTGAATCAGTTATCTTACTATGCATACTTCAAGGCCCAAATAAATACTTTTATTGGATGGAGCTATAGCTTTTTTAAATGTGTCTTTAGAATATATATAGCATATTTTTTAAAGTTTATGTTTTTTGAACAGGTATGCCTACAATTTATCCCAGTAGGAGAGTTTTATGTTTAATCGAATGTTAAGAATGTATTAGTTTTGATTTCACTGCTCTTCGTGTCTCGTTTAGCTTCTGGAGTTTTTTTCTGTCATTGTTGGCACAAAATGATGCTCTGTTGTTGCTCCACTGAGTCTTCATCTACACCACTGAGCTTGATTGGATCCATTTCTGATCATCTGAGTGAGCTTGTTTCAGGTACCTTGTAGGGACCAATTTTGCAAAAAATCATGCATTGTGGGAACCATCTGCTCTTTATGGGGACCAAAACCAGGACCTCATAATGAGAAGTCTCACTGAGGGATTAGGGGTTAGGTTTAGGACTAAGGTAGGGTTAGGGTTAGGTATGCACTAGTGATTGTTAGGTTTAAGGGTCAGGGTTAGGCTATAGAAAATGAATGGACGTCAATGCAACGTCCCCCAAAAGTATGTTTACAAGAACGTGCAAGAGTGTGTGTATGTATTACCGTGTTCATTTACAGCTGTTAACTTTTTCTTTTGTGTGTCTGCAGGAAACAGTTGAATATGCCTTCCTGATCATTTTCACAATAGAGACCTTCCTGAAGATTATTGCTTATGGTTTGGTGATGCACCAGAATGCATATGTGAGAAACGGCTGGAACATGCTGGATTTCGTCATTGTGGTTATTGGGTAAGTCTGCGCCTTCACCTAATTTTGATGTGCTGGGCTCAGATTTTAACATTTTGTATCTTTCTTTTTTTTTTTACATGCAAGGTCACAAGGTTTTTTATTTTTATTTTTCTGTTCTGTTCGGATTTACGCCTTGATCTCAGTTTGACAGTTTACAGTATTTGTGAGGGGAGAAGTTAAAGTTGCTTAAGCCTCTGCTCCAAGTGGACAAGTGCTAATAGACTCCCTCATACACCCACAGTATATGACCCAGAAAAGACAGAGAGAATAAATCAGAGCTTTACCACCGCTGGTGTGAGTCATCATCTCTCCATTTTTTTTTTTACGTCTTCCTCCCGTCTTTCCTTCTCTTTCACTCACACTCTGCTGTCCTCCTCTGTTATTTCTTTGGAGCTTATTGCTATCTCTACCCTTTTAATTTCCTTGAAGCACACAATTTGTCCTTTCTTAAAATGTCTCGGTGAGGACTACAAACAAATAACAAGAAAACACATCAAGTTAAATTACAATTCAACTTAGACAACATGTGACATAATTATTTCATAAAACTAAAACACAGACAAAACATTCATATTGGAATAGAAGGCATTGTTCTTCAAATCTTTTTTGTAACCATTTACATCAAGTTAAAGTCCATTTGCAACCCATATACATGTTCATCGGTGCATAGCAGGTGCATGCTTTGTGCCTTCATCATTAATAATCTACAAGAGCAGCAGAAGAAATGTTGAAACAAATGGACTGTACTTGTATCTCTTATATAATCTTTCTATAGATCTAGTAGAGTGATGTATGAATGAGTAAATGAGGGCACAGATTGTAGTGTAAAGCTCTTTGAGTGTCTTGATTAGGGGTTGAACGAGTATATAATTTTTAAACTCAACATTAACATAAAACCCGAGTAGAACTCGAGTATTTGATGACGTCATAGATCTCAAGATACAAAAATAAATAAATAAATAAATAAAACCACAAAAAAAGGCAATTATTTACAACAAAAAAAAGACCAACAAAACATTGGGAGCGTATATTATGCTCCTACCATTTATCATACTGCAAATAAGTCACAGGAGAAACTAAACTATTAGTTATTATTATTAAACTGCAAACGTGAAGAAACGTGCAGCACGTCAAAAACGAAGCTTAAACCGAAACTGGTTCTGGTTCGGTGGATTGGACCCGGGGTTACACCATACTCTGTGACCTGCAACAGTGCAACACCGCCCCCTACGGTCATACGTGGTCACATAATATGACGTCACTACGGGTACCCGACGTTACATTTTTAACATCGATAGATGCCCTAGCAATCGATGTGTAGATTACTCGAGTACTCTGTTAATGCCCTAGTCTTGATAAGATAGAAAGGTGCTATATAAGTACAATCCATTTACCATACCATTTATATAGTGCCTTTCTTTCTAAGCAAGATACTCAAAGTGCTTTACATTACAATATGTGCCCTCATTTACCTCCACACACACATTCATAGAGCACTACTAGATGGTTACAAAGCTAATCTGAATCTGTAGAGACTGATCAGAGCTTTATCACATTCATACACAGATGGGACACACATCGGAGGCAATGAGGGGTTCAGTGTCTTACCCAGGGACACTTGAACATGTGACTGCTGGTGGAATCGAACCCCCAACTCTCCTATTGGAGGACGACTGCTCTAACCACTCAGCCACAGCTGCCCCAAAACAAGATTTCAAAACAGAAGTCCTCATAGTTGTACTCACGTTCAGCATTTTAGTATGGCTAGTGAACAAAATATGGAAATTGTATAAATAACATTTTGACAGCTCATGCTGTGCAACTCCCCACCTCACTTTGCCCTCAATCTTTTCTCCTGCACATCTTATCATCTTCATCTTTATCACAGTTCTTCGTTTATTTCATTTTTCTCCTCTTCCTTCCTACATTCCACTCCTTTCTGCCCGTATTTCTCTTTTAATGCACGCACAGTCGAGTGGGTAGCTGGGTCAGATCTCCGTCTGTGTGCCGCATGCAGGGCTGATCTGCCATCCAGTCGTAAGCGATGAAGACCGCTGCCTGTCCTTCTAGGAGGAGTGACTATTGCTGCTAAATCACTGAAATGAAAAACAGATAATCCAGCAAGGATCTGATGTCAGAGAGCTGAAGTCCACTTTTAGACAACATTCCGGATGGGTGTGGATCTTGCATGTACAGATACAAAAACATGGTGTGCATCATTTAATGGCACTTAAAGGCTTTTATTATTGCCTACCGCCAAATGGTGGGCAATAAAGCAATTGTTTTTGTTCGTGCATGTGTGTGCTCATTTGTTTGTGCTCCACAGTATCTCATAAACCAGTGGACAGAATTCATTGAAACTGCCATAAAATAATTGTTTGTACATAACTTATCTTTTGAAGTAATCTCAATTTAAGATGGCTGCCATAGCTAATACAAACCAGATTCCAAAATAGCAATACCAGAATGGTGTTATCCAGCGTAAAATAGCAAAGACTTTTAAGTTATCATCAACCGTGCATAACATCATCAAAAGATTCAGAGAATCTGGAACAATTGCTGTGCGTAAGGGTCAAGGCCGTAAAACTCTACTGGATGCTCGTGATCTCCGGGCCCTTAAACATCACTGCACCTCAAACAGGAATGCCACTGTCAAGGAAATAACAGAATGGGCTTAGGAATACTTCCAGAAAGCATTGTCAGTGAACACAATCCACCGTGCCATCTGCCGTTGCCAGCTGAAACTCTACAGTGCAAAGAGGAAGCCATTTCTAAGCAAGCTCCACAAGCTTAGATGTTTGCACTGGGCCAGGGGTCATTTAAAATGGAGTGTGGCAAAATGGAAGACTGTTCTGTGGTCAGATGAGTCACAATTTGAAGTTCTTTATGGAACACTGGGACGCCATGTCATCCGGACCAGAGAGGACAAGGATAGCCCAAGTTATTATCAACGCTCCGTTCAGAAGCCTGCATCACTGATGGTATGGGGTTGCATGAGCGCTTGTGGCATGGGCAGCTTGCATGTCTGGAAATGCACCATTAATGCAGAGAACTATGTTCAGGTTCTAGAACAACATATGCTCCCATCTAGACGTCATCTCTTTCAGGGAAGACCCTGCATTTTTCAACACGATAATGCCAGACCACATTCTGCAGCAATCACAACATCATGGCTACGTAGGAGAAGGATCCGGGTACTGAAATGGCCAGCCTGCAGTCCAGATCTTTCACCAATAGAGAACATTTGGCGCATCATAAAGAGGAAGGTGCGACAAAGAAGGCCTAAGACGATTGAACAGTTAGAGGCCTGTATTAGACATGAATGGGAGAGCATTCCTATTTCTAAACTTGAGAAACTGGTCTCCTCTGTCCCCAGACGTCTGTTGAGTGTTGTAAGTAAGAAGGGGGGATGCCACACAGTGGTAAAAATGGACTTGTCCCAACTTTTTTGGGATTTGTTGACGCCATGAAATTTGGAAACAACAGATTTTTCCCTTAAAATGATACATTCCCTCAGTTTAAACTTTTGATCTGTGATTTGTGTTCTATTCTGAATAAAATATTAGATGTTGGCACCTCCACATCATTGCATTCAGTTTTTATTCACAATTTGTTTAGTGTCCCAACTTTTTTAGAATCCGGTTTGTATGTTTTAACAAACACAAAAGGGCTCTAACTGTTAATTTGACTGAAATAGAGCTGGCATTTGATGTGGTTGTAGCTGAGAGTGATTCATAACATTTTAGAATCCTGCTTTGCACTTCTTTGCTTAAAACTTTGACAATAACTGTTGAAATCAACCCTCTCTGTCTGTTAGTAAAATTTCTCATAAACCACTGGACACATTTGAGTGAAACCATCTGAACGTAATCAATAGATAGACATCTGCGCTTGAATAATTGTTAGAGACATTACAATTCAAGATGGCCACCACAGCTAGTTATGTTTATCCAACATAAAAATGTCCACAACTCTGTCAGTTTTGCAAATATTGAGCTAAAACTACAGTCGGTGTGGTAGTAACTGAGAGACATTTCTTATACATACTCAAAGAGCTAACAGATGGTGTAAGAACTTTAAAAGTTTGGCAAGATTTTTGCTATACTTCAGATTTAACTCAATTTTAATAAAACTTGCAGAAAGTATTCTTGAGTGTTCATCTATGTTTAATTAACTTGTGGAGTTAAACAGGTTCAAGATGTCCGTCACAGAAATTATATCCTACTAAACACAGATATGACTACAACTCAGTCATTTTTACAGATTTTTGAGCTAAAATGTGACGTGGTAGTAGCTAAGACATTCTAAATATTCTAAGAGAGTAAACAGATGTGCAAGATATTTACTTACAACTTTGACATTCATTTCATCAAGAAATGCTCTTTTTTTTTTACTTTTTGAAAAAAAAAATTTGTGGCATGTGCATTGCTCAAAATAAAGACCAGCATTTATTTATTTATGTATTCATTTGTCTGTTTATCTGCACACTTGGATAATGAGGAAAGACTCTTGAAGAACACCTTTACAACAGCTGATTCCTGTGCTGAATACTTGGTTCTTCAGAGGAACGTTGTGTACAGAGTTGTCGATGTGTGCAGAGGGAGGCGGGTGTAGTTCTCGTTCGAGCATGAGAGGATGAGCAGTGAAACCCCCGGTATGAGTCGGTCAGTCCTACAGCTGTGACTCAGTGGAGCAGAAGTCGGAGCAGACTGTGCTGAAAGGCCATCAGAACTTCTTCCAGCGCCTATTGGCAGCTTCATTCACTGCTTTTAGACCATAGCTTTGATGTGATGAGTCGAGATGATTTCCCCTCCTGGCTAGGTGAGGGATGTCTGACTGTAATGAGCCTTTCATAGTAAGAAATCCGTTCAGAGTCAATCCCGCTTTGGAAACCAGAGCAGGAATCAGTTTTAATGACAAATCTTTATTCTATACAAGCTTATATATTTGAGCTGCTGATCAATGTCCCAAGTTCTTTATAGGAAGACATTTATGTATAAATGACAATATATACAGCTGGTAAGAAGAAGAATTTATTATTTCAGATCCAATTTATTTGAAATGAACGCACGGTTTATTTTCCTGACTGAGTGATTGTCAGATAACATGGTGTCACAAATACATGGTAATGATCAGTGACAAGCTAAAGCTTTCAGCCAAGGTACAGTTTAATGGCTGAAATGATTAGTTATAATAAAATAATTACCATAATTACAGGAACCACGTAATCTAGTGATTTGTTCCATGTTGTTATGGCTCAACACACAATTGTGTTGCTGTGTCACCCCAACGGTTGGTTCGTTTTCGCCATGCTAACAGTTTTTTGGGGCATTTGGGGTTCTCCTGCAGCTTAAAACCACCCGTGTTAGGTTGAGCGGTGATTCTAAACTGATCAGAGGTGTGAGTGTTTGTGTGCACGTGTATGTCTCTTTGTGCCCGGTGAACTGGCCAAGCTGTATGCTGACTCTTGCCTGACAGTTTCTGAGATCAACAGGGCCAAAGTTGTTAAAAAAATTAATGAGTATTGTGGGAGTAAGTCAGTCATTTTGGAGACATTTAACTGATTGACTTCCTCTGAAAAACTTTATATTTAACGATGTTCCAATTTTTTTTTTTTTATTATTATAAAGGCACAGTTTTATGTTTGGAGCTGATTAAACAATATTTTAATTCAATTGTTTTCTTTGTTTTCTGACAGACTCTTCAGTGTTGTCTTAGAATTTTTGACCAAAGATGAGAAGGGAGATGGCCCCGAAGCTAGCACCCATCCATCGCCGCACGGCCATGGAGGTAAGCCCGGTGGATTTGACGTTAAAGCCCTTCGAGCCTTCCGTGTGCTGCGACCCCTGCGGCTGGTCTCAGGAGTACCCAGTAAGTGATCTGAACTTTAGAGTTTCTTATAAGTGCTGCCTGTGTGAATTAATGCATTTTTTTTGTATATTTTGCATGTTTTTGTGTAATAATCTTAGATCTAAATCTGAGTAAAATGAAAGTTAAATGTCTTAACATGACAAGTCAACCCTGGAGGAACTTTTACAAATTAAATAAGAGACTGGTGTGACAAAAAAATAAACAAACTTAAAGAAAAGACATCTGATAAACTTTAAAAATATAAATTAGGTTAGATGCACATAAAATGCAAATGTACGTTAACATGTGGTGCCATGTTCTGCTGTTTTTGCACTGAGAGTAAAGAAGCCAGTTTGTTCCTCTGCTCATTCAGTCCTAAAAAGCCAGGCTTCTTGTGACTCGTTCATTTTCCTCTTTGCTCAGGTTTACAGGTGGTGTTGAACTCCATCATCAAAGCCATGGTTCCTCTGCTGCACATCGCCCTCCTTGTCTTGTTTGTCATCATCATCTACGCCATTATTGGCCTGGAGCTTTTCATCGGTAAAATGCATGCGACCTGCTACATAGTTGGCACAGGTAAGTGCTCTGGGCTTTCTTTTATGCATAAAAGCAAATCAGCTTTTTAGTCATTATGCTGTTTATGGCAAGGTTTTTTTTTCTGTCAAGCTTGACTTAAAAAGAACTGTGCACATAGGTTGATCTAATAACTGGTTTACAGTAAGGAATGGGACAAAATAGCAACATTTTGAACAAAAATATTGTGATTTAAATAGGACTCTTTATGAGTATTTTTTCATGGAATTTATTTGTTGTTTAAAATAACAATGCCGTTGTATATGCAACTCGATGAATTGTTAGTCCCAACAGTTTTTTTTTCTACTCTCATGACAAACAGGTCAACCTGTCATTGATTTTCCTTTTATAGTTGTATGATTGATGCACAGCCCACCCACTCAGTTGGTGCTTTCTTGGAAAATGCACATGTTTTGGCAATACGTCCTCTTTGTGTTGTGTTATTAGTGTTTAATTTGCTCCAGGGTGCAATTTTCCAACAGAGCTGGACGTCATCTGTTTGGAATCAGTGCAACATTATTTTAATTGCCATGTTCCCAGTTTTCACTGTTAACAGCAGATGTATTTCCGTCAGGAGCTGTTAATGGAAACGTATACATTACGGTGCCAAAGTGTACAACAGGAATGTAGTAAAAAATATATTCATCACCCTCGAATCCTCCCCATCTGCTTTCACATATGTGGGGAAAATTACATTAAAGGGATAGATTTTTTTATGTAGGACTTCAGACTCTGTGACTTGTCTGCAGCAAACAGCAGTCAAAACAATTTTTTTGTTGGAAAATCAGGGAGAAATTCTTACTGAGGAGCCACGCTAACAACAAGGAGCTAATTTCTAACATCTTACCCAACCCATCTGTCTTAATTCTACAACAGGGAAAATAAATGCTTTATTGTTTTTTTTACTACATTATGTCACTTTTGCATTACAGTAGTCCCTCATTTGACTTACGTTCCAGACACTCCCACGATAAGTGAAAATCTACGAAGTAGGGACCTTCTATTTATTTTAGTATTTAAATATATTAGGCTTTATAAATCCTTCCCACACTCTTGCAATGTAATTAACAATGTTCTAAACTCTTAAACCTACGTAATTTTAACAACATATGTACATGTACTGTGCAGTACTGTGCAGTACTGCAAAATTTTACATGGGTACTCACCAGTGAAGTTACTACTACAACTTGAAGGATGAGTTTAGCTTCAGGATTATTTGTGACTTTCCTGCCAGTTCTGTGAGATTAATCGTTACTTGTGACTTTGCGTTGCAAAACTATTTTTACCACATCGGTTTCTCCGCTCCCTCCATTGCTGTTCTTTGAATTTCAGCAGAAAGCAATGTTCTGAAGCACTGTTGGCTTCTGGGCCATGTAGTTTGTTGCATTACAGTATAGGCTTATTGAAAGAAAACAACAAAATGGCGGCGTTTTGTTTTGTTTTTCACCTTACTGGTTGGTTCCCGCTCTTGTCTGCGCCTGTTAACTTTTCATCCCATACCGTCTCAGTCATGTGAGTAATATTAAAGTTGACAATCGTGTGCCGTGTACAATCTTACGTTGAAAATCCACGAAACGGTGAGTCCGCGAACGTTACGCCACAAAGTATCGAGGGACTCCTGTAGTTCTTTACATGGACATATGTGGTTATTTACTTTTGTCACTGGCTGTGTTGGAACACCATCTGTGTTCTGTTGTAACACATTCAATGTGAACCACAAGTAAGAAATGTGATAAGTGTACCTGATCTGCATAGCTCTGCATATTCTGACTACTATCTACTACAAGATTCTGACTACTCATAAGTATTGCATACAACCATCCATCCATCCATTATCTTTACCCGTTTATTCCATTTTGGGTCACGGGGGTCGCTGGTGCCCATGTCCAGCAATCACTGTGCGAGGGGCGGGGTACACCCTGGACAGGTCGCAAGTCCATCACAGGGACACAGAGAGACAAACGAGACAAACAATCATTCACTCCCTCACTCAAACCTAGGGACAATTTAGAGTTACCAATCAGCCTAACATGCATGTTTTTGGTCTGTGGGAGGAAACCGGAGTACCCGGAGAAAACCCACGCATGCACGGAGAGAACATGCAAACTCCACCCAGAGGGCCCCTGGACCGGGGTTTGAACCAGGGACCTGCTCGCTGAGAGGCAGCAGCTCTACCAGTTGCGCCACCGTGCTGCCTGCATACAACCAGACTCTAAATAATCTGAAAAATCTTCTTTAAGTCAGAAAATGACATACATGACCCTACTGATTAAACTATTTGACTGGCTTATTTTGTAAGTTTTAAAAGTGTTCCACAAGATGGAGTTGATGGTCATGACAAATGTGTAGAATAACAAATACTGAATGCATAAAGTACTAAATTACATAAACAGTCTGATGATTTCTCTTACCATAGATTTGATAGGAGAAGAAGAATCAGCTCCATGTGCGATCTCAGGGCACGGGCGTCAATGCGCCATCAACGGCACAGCGTGCAGAGAAGGCTGGCAAGGCCCCAACGGTGGTATCACCAACTTTGACAACTTTCTGTTTGCCATGCTGACGGTGTTTCAGTGTATCACCATGGAGGGCTGGACTGACGTGCTGTACTGGGTGAGTCTCTCGCTCTCTCTTGCTCTGACCGCTCGTTTCAATAGCGTGTGACTGACACATGCCTTCAGCTTCAATGTGTCCTCAAATCAGACACACAGCAGTAATGTGGCTGACAACGTGGTGACGACGCTGCTGATCATTTCTCGAGGCAGTTTTTATGTTTCAGATATGATTGATTGCTCAAATGACTCATCACATTTATCAACTCTTAACAAATACCACTGTTCTGGCACTGGCACTATCAATAATCTCACAAGACCCACTATTTTGTTCAGTTGACAATTTCCTGAAGTTTTATTTAAATTTCTGTGAGATCCATCATTCAAAAAAGCAAAGAAATGCAGTTTAACAGTACGTATTTTAGCCCTGTCTTCACAGCTGTGTTCATAACAGCTGGTTTTATTGGGTGTAATGGACCACTTAACTCAACCCATGTCTTCTGCAAGTTGTTCCTCTTTTGAGATCAGTCGACTTATACACGACTTATACAGTCAAATTGGCTCAATTAAATAAAATGTCGCAACCAAAATTAAAAGATTCAGCTTAATGTCAAACTAGTAATTCATAGTTGAATCTAAATCCTAGTTTTATTCTTTAAATTTTGTCAGATTAAACTTGGGTGGCGCAGTCATTCCGTCTTTGTGTGCTTTGTTCAGGTTTTTTCAGGCAGTAAGCTTTATTGTTTGTATAGTTTTTGGATCAGGCGGATTAAGCATCTAACACTGCACACATGAAATTTGCATTTGCATGTAACATTTATTAAACATTTCTTGCAAAAGCAAAGAAGACATTGCAAATGATCAGGGAGATTGGTCAAATTATTTTTTTTTTATTACTGTACTTTTTGGACTATAAGGCGCACTTAAAATCATTTAATTTTTTCAAAAATCGACAGTGGGCCTTATAATTAGGTGCGCCTTATGTATTAATTCTGGTTGTGCTTACTGACCTCCAACTGATTTTATGGGTTATTGTGAATGAGTTGAATAAAGTTCGACTTATCTGACTGTTTTGTGTCGCTTAATGCGCCTTATATGCATGGTGCTTGCTCAGGATGGGAGACTGCAACGAAGCCAAGATTCAACTTGTCTGCTGGCCTCCTTAGATAGAGAACTTTACTAATTGGCTTTTATGTATGTGAATGTTTCTGTAAAGTGCCCTGAGACAACTTTGTTGTGATTTGGCGCTATATAAATAAACTGAATTGAATTATAATCTGAAAAATACAGTATTCTTTAGGAAGATTTCCAACTAAGTGAAATGACCTGGAAGTTCCAACCTTGTTAAAATTACCTGCTAAAGATACTGGGTGGTAAAAGCTGAATGCTTTTCTGGCTGGTATATAGAACAATTGTATTTGTAGAGCACTTCTGGTAAGTTGTTTTTTTTCCACGCGTTGAGTGAAGTTTAAAGCTGCTAAGAAGAATTTTTTGTTAATAGCAACAAGTGAAAATAAGTTTCAGCTTCTGCTTCTAACGTATAGTTAAAGCAATTTTACACCAAACAGGGCCTGTCACATAACAAAACATAAAGAATATGACCAGATGACTGAGATTTTCACACCAACCTACTGACCTGATTGAGTTCCAGTACATTAAAAGGAAGTCTCTACATGAACCCAGATAAATGGATAAATGCTCTGAAGTGCATGTTTAACAAACGTGTTTTGTTCATGTTTTCCTACTATCTGTCTCTTAAAGTTCATTTCACTGTTTCTTCCTCTCTTTTCTCTCTTCTCCTTCCACTCTGGTGACTGCTTGCTCCTCCAGATGAACGATGCTATGGGCTTTGAGCTTCCGTGGGTCTACTTTGTCAGTCTTGTGATCTTCGGCTCCTTTTTCGTTCTTAACCTGGTTTTGGGTGTGTTGAGTGGGTAAGAACCTCCTTCTCTTTGAAGACCGAGACTTCTGCTTGAAGTTCTCTGGTCTTGTGTAAATTTCTGTGTGTGTCTTATAACCGGCTACTTTTGGCTCCTGTAGGTCAACGATGCCATCGGATGGGAAACCCCATGGATATATTTTGTCAGCCTGATTATACTGGGCTCCTTTTTCGTATTAAACCTTGTGTTAGGTGTGCTAAGTGGGTAAGAGGCAACTTGTGCAGTGTATTTGGTCTGCAGTGTGCAAAGCATGTTTCTATGTTTGGGATGTAGTGGTAGCCTATAAATCAATATGTGCTTTGCTGCAGATTCTTTGCATGTGGCACGTGAGCCACTCAAACACGCTGACCCCGAGGACATTGATACACATTGTTTCAGATGAAAAACAGCGAGCTAGTCCACATTAGAATGCCAAGATAAATTCTTCCTCAGCTTCTTTTGTGCCAACTGCAACGTGAGCGTTTCTTCTCCCATCCCTATCCTGAACCAACCTCCTGAGAAGAGAATTAATCTCGTTTTTCGCCTTTCACTGTGTTTCTAAGCCCTCTCAAACCACAGTTTGCTTTCTCAGTCATGTGGAGGAGGGAGTGGGGGGGCTAAGTAGAAACATCTCTGGACGGTTGATCAACAGGAGAGTTTGTTTGGATTTTTAAAAAAATTTTAAGCCACTAATGGTTCACTAAACTCTCATGTCAGGGGACTCTTGTGACCCCCCCTTTTATTTTTTGCTGCTTTTAATCATCACCTGCCACTGAAAGGCAAACAATTATGTTTGCTTGTGTTTGTGTGTAAATCTGTTACCAACATATCTCATAAACCACAGGATGGATTTTACTGAAATGTGCAGAAAATGGTCTTTGGATGTTCATCTACAACTGATTAACGTTTGGACTCAAAATAAGCAGGCCACCACAGCCAACGGACCTTAAAGCAACACAAAAATGTCTATATATCAATCAACTTGATCAGATACTGACCTAACATTTCATGATCGTAGCTGAGACTGATCCCCAACACATATTCTGAATACAGAACAGATTACTTGAGAAAATAGAAGTTTTATCAATAACTGTTTGAATGCAATTCTGTCTGTTAGCAAAATATCTCACAAGCTACTGGATTGTTTTTAACGAAACCTTAGGGAAATAATCACTGTATGTACAACTACAACAGATTAACCATTAGAGCCAAACCAATCAAAGTTGGCTATCACGACTAATTTGCTTTAGAAAACACCAAAACTGCTGTAATTTAGTCCGTTTTACAGACAGTGAGCTGAAATTTGATGTCGTTGTTGCTGAGGAAATCTCAGCACATACTCTAAATAGATGATATTGTATGCAATAACATTATTTTCAAGGACTGACCTAAACAACTACCGCTCAGTCATTTCTTCGGTGGGTGGTATGTATTCCTTCAAAGAATGCTAGGCCTTTAGTTTGCATAATATTTGCATCAATTATCTAATTTCACTTTAACTGCACAGCACTTGTCTTACCACTGAGTGGCTGTACTGTTTTGTCACGCTTGATTTAATTACTATGAAGTAATGTTTCCTACATGCCATTACTGAAGCGTAATGAGACTTTTTCTTCAGTGTACATTGGTGAATTGAACAGCTCCCGTCTTGTAAAACTAATAGATGAAGATTTCATGCTAATGTTGCATGTCTCCATGAAACTGTCTACCTAAATTACCTTTCTGTATGATTAGGATGCTTGCCTAAAGGAAATGTTCCTGTACTGCAGTGCTCTATCTCCCTCTATAAATATATACAGCAGTGTGCTGTCTCTCGTAGATTTACATCTCCCTCCAGTGGCTAGATGTCAGAAAAACAAACCATATTGAATCATTACGACTGAAGTATGCAACTTTAAATAATCCAGTCTGAAAGAATTTGCAGTCTTATCTTTAGTTGGTTTTAAAAAGTTTGGGAAGATTTAGTGCAGGACCACACACTTTTTGGTTTTTATTTTGTGTGGATAAAGTGTGCATTTTGCTTGCTGTGAATATTTCTTAGAGCCTGGGTTTGTGGTGATTAATGCACGTTTCTGTGTATTTCTCTGCCTTTTTTTTTTTGTCTCTGTTTGCTGATTCATCTCCAGAGAGTTTTCCAAGGAGAGAGAGAAGGCCAAAGCTCGTGGAGACTTTCAGAAGCTGCGGGAGAAGCAGCAGCTGGAGGAGGACCTGAAGGGTTACCTGGACTGGATCACTCAGGCTGAAGACATCGACCCTGACAACGAGGATGAGACTGATGAAGGGAGCAAGCGTAATCGTAAGCGCCCTCCTCCACCTCTTTTCTCCATTGGTTCTGAATATGACATTAGGTTCTTGCAATAAGAAACACCAACAGTTATTAAGTGCTTGTGACTTCATTTAAGGTCACCAGGAGAATTTAGTGTGCTAGAACATTTAAAAAACACATTCACATGCTGGAGATAAAACCCAAGTCAATTAGACACTGCACACAGATATAAAGACATACAGATAAAGATTACAGAACAGCTCTGCTGCAATAAACATGACAAAAATGTAACGTTTCTTCCAGTTTGTGACTACAGTAGTCCCTCGCTACTTCACGCTTTGTTTATCACGGTCTCACTCTATCGTGGTTTTTCAAAATAAGATTGGACATGACACACAACTGACTGATGAGCCGCACGATCGGCATGGGATTTTTATTTAAAATGAATTATTTTTAATTATTTAGCACCTGCAGCTGTGCAGCCCACAGCTAAAGAAAAAGCTTCTCCTGCATGTGTCAGGATCTCTGCTCTGCCTCGGAGAAGTGGGCGTGGCCAAGAGCAGCCGTGGCAAAGAGAGGGTAATCATGACATTCAGTGCTCTTTTAGAGCTTTTAGAGTTTAGAAACGTTGTTTAAAATATTGCAAGAGTGTGGGAAGGGTTTAAAACACCTTCACACACACACACACACACACACACACACACACACACAC